CTAATGCCAGCTATCTATCAGTTTCCATTTATGCGAATGTTAATCCTCTGCATACGTCATCCTAAATTTTAATTTTAAACCGCGTCATATGAATTTCAATACCAAGCGAATCTGCATATCGTGATGAGGACAATAGCAAAACAAACTGTTGAAATTTAAAATCTTTTTATCATTTAGATATTGATGATAAAGAAATGCGAAAAACAGATTGATAAAAGAGCATAGACTGAGACTATCTCAACCATCGCATGTTTAATTAATTCTTATGAAATTAACTTAACTTCTTTATGTACAGTTCAACGAATAATAGCCCACCTGCGTAAACCTTTTCTCATCGTACTAATAAGCCTGTGATCGTTTAGTCACTAAGCGTATAATCCTAGGACTATTTGTCACTGCTCCTTCAGCACAAATTGAAATCCTCTCTCATAAATGATGAAAATAGCTACGACTATATGTCTAAATGCAGCAATTAATTGTTAAAGTAGAAATATTTCAAATGAGTGCACCCATAAGTGAAGTGTCATTAGTGGCACTTTGCACAGTATGCGTACTTTATAAAATTAATTCACTAAATTAAAGGTATAAAAAATAGTGCAAATCATTGAAAATTGAATTAAACCACAGAAATCAAAAAGTAGAAATTTCGTCAGATTCTGTGCTACGATTTGCAGGCTTTCAGAATCTCATTCTTTATTGCATCAACAGGTTCCATATGTATTGCATGTATGATAAAAACTTCTTGAATTCCCGAAACGACAGTAATAGCTTAAAATTTTAATAGTTTATTGAACTATGCCTACTGTGAAGCTTTCGTCGAGGATCAAAAACGCATTCAACAACTATCAAGTTAGAGATGGGGATATTTAAATGTAAGAGACAAAAAATATGAGAAATATTGCGAATCGCACAAATCAAAATCTGTTTGACCAAAGACCAAAAGACCAAAAGCTTTTGGTCGTTTAATTCCATTCAATGTGATATAAAAAGGTTTCTGTTCGAGCATTCCTAACATTTTGAAAATTTTGTATTTTACCTTGTTCTTCATTATGTCAATGACACAGATCATTCAGTTCAATCATCTACTTTGCGTCGCTGGGCCTATAATAAAATTTTCGCCTTACTTACCTTACTTAATCTTGATATGGATGTTACTATCACATGTATTCATTATCCTGGTTACAAAGAAAATGTCGCTTCGAACTATTTTTGTCAACCTACTATTCTTCTCTCAAACAACGTTTTCAGCCTAATTGAATTATTGGAATCAACTTATACCAATGCTCTCTTTCAAGATAGCATTGATAGCTTCAATTTATCATTCTTTGATCTAGTAAATATATAATATCGACGGAAAAGTACCAGGAAGTAATATTAAAACTGAAGTTTTTGCTTCTAATATGCATAAGAAAAAGTGAATACTTCCCAATAATTCAAATGAAATGTGATGTGTTATGTTTATTTTATGGCATTGATATTTTCCGAGTCAATTTTTAAATTACATTAATTAACTAGCAATTATTGCAATAAAATGCTAATTACAAATACAAATATTATAAGAGTTTTTCAAAAGAGCAAAATCATGACCGTCCTTATGCCGGATGTGATAAGAATGATGAACCCCCTATTTACAAAAGCAAACAACCCGGTTGTGAGTGAACATTCAATCATAAACCATCATTTGCTTATCACAACGAAACATATCTACCTAGACCTTAATGCAAAAAACTGTAGTAAACTCTTGACATTTTTGTATTGCAAACTCTTTGGTTGTAAGACTTCACTGAAAAGACGTCAGAAATTTTGCATCAGAGAATCTTGTTAGCTTTACAATTTTAGCAATATTTTAAACATGTTTATCGTAATAGAATGCACGTGAAAATGTGTTACGAAACATTCACGACCATGAAGTAACACTTGCAAAATTCAATAAATATTGCAATGCAGAAAAAGCATGCAGAAAACGAGGTTAAACTGCAGTTAAAGTGTTCATTTCTTTTGGCGAAATGAGATAACATCCAGAAAATATTTATTCCAAACCTAACTTCAGCATAACCATTATTCGGGTACATTTTGGGAAATACATGAAAAGATGCTGAACTATAATATCAAAAAGTAGTTTCTTGCATTTTGTTTCCATCACCTATCATCAATCGTTTCTTATTTATATGATATTGTGAACGACAATGCTCAAATTTGCCTCCTTTTCGAAAATTTTCCGGATTTATTGGTTCACATTCACCGGAACACGTACGTGGATAAATGAGAAATCTAAATATAGAAGGATAAAAGTGTTAAATTAAGGAGTGAATGTTTCCATATCGTTTTTATTGTTTAAAATTAATTTTTAAATGAAATTATATTAAAAATTCCTTGTTAAAAATTTGCTAATTAAAAAAGATATAAAACCTCAAATTGCGCGTATCGGTGATCATTGTTAGATGAAACGAAGCATTAGAAATAATTAGTATATATTCGCATAATGCTTGATAAGGTGGCACTGAAAATATATCAATGAAAATGATCGTATGATTCGCATAATGCCTAAATAACTTATCACTTTACAACTTATCAATCTTTTTTAAATTTGAAAAACTGATATCTGTTAGGTATTCGCATAATGCCTAAATGACTTATCACTTTACACCTTATCAATCTTTTTAAATTTGAAAAACTGATATTTGTTAGGTATTCGCATAATGCCTAAATAAGATAAGACAGGAAAAAAGTTATGTAATTTTTAAAAAAAATTTATGTAATTTTCAATAAATTTATGTAATTTTAAATAAGTTTAAATTATACTATTCGGTTTCCGCTTCGTTGTTTCACGTGAAAGTATATGTCTGTCATTTACTTCTTACTGCGAAGCACACTTAAGTCTATATGCTTAATATAAGAGCTAACAAAACTGTTGCTAATTTATTTCCGATTATTTTAGCAGATGTCTTTCATAGAATTGAATTATATTAGATGCTGAAATAGTTAGCAATACTTTTTTGAATTGTTAAATCATTTGGTTGCTTGATTGCTAAACAAAAGTTACTTCCTTTAAACATTTGTTCATTAAAGCGCTAATTTAAAGTAATAATTCTATCATTTTTGTAGTCATTTCATAAATTAGCTGCTAATTAAATGAGTATAATCAAACCATAATAGTGACATGCGGGTGAATCGATAAATGAATTATGAAAAATAGTCACTTGTGGAGTTACAATACCAAATGCAATCAAACATAATAATTTAATTATTACACATATCTGATCAATCCTCTGAAAATATGACATGCATTAATTTGATAACTGTATAAGTTAGAATAAAATTGATGCTAATGGTGACATCGTTTGGATTCTGAAGCAAAGAAGAAGAAGAAGAATGATAAAAATCGAACACTTTCCTGAATTGCAATGATTTCTTCTGAGATATCTATTCATTTCATCAAAATTAAAATTATGATTATTAAAAACTTTTAATTATGCATTTCAAATATTCTAAAAAATCATTGTCTTCCTTTTCTTGCTAATGTTTGACAGCAAAAATTAAATTTATTTGCGAAAAATAGAAAAATTCAATTGATAAAAATAATATATATAAATTGAAATTTTCTTTCAAAAAATTCTAAAATTTGAAAAAAGATTGAAAATTTCACCAAATTTGTTGAACATTTAAAAAATTATCTTTATTGATTTAATAAAACATATCACCTGAAATTTTCCACTTTTTCGAAAAATTGTTACTGCAGTACATGCGATCATATGTAATAAAGCGCTGATCATAAATAAATTAAATGATATTTTATATAAGACTGAAATTTGTAAAAAAAAAAATTACAATATTTTAAAATTTGAAATATATCTAAAATATTATTTATTTTGCCAATAGTTATTCATCCTTTACAAACATAAAAATCTAAATTTTCCACTTTTTAAAATTTCTCTTAAAATACCAATGAAATGTTTCATCGATTCTGCATTTTTTTTCCCCACAAAAGAAATAATAAAAAAAAAAAAAATAGAAAGAAAAAAAAGAAAGAAAAAAAAATGATTACTTTGATAATCTTGACGAATGGTATTGATAGAGAAAAGTGTGCAGAAGAAAATTTCAAAAAAAGTAAAATTGGTACAGCAATATTACACCAACGATACCAAAACCATTTCTTGATATATGGACAAATATTTGCATTAACAAGAGCATTTAAATAACTTTGAAATAAACGAAGTGAAGTTGGAATACAGGTTGCAATACGAAATGATACATTTGCTTGGACGGTAAGTTCAAGTAATCGAAGTATTGATGGTAGATACCAATTAGGTATCATGGTTGATGTCAAATTCTATAATATTATTTTAATTCATTTCATTTTTAATTCTATAATATCATTTTAATTCATTTCATTTCTAATTCTATAATATCATTTTAATTCATTTCATTTCTAATTTTACTGCATTTTTTTTCCAATTTTATTGCATTTTTTTTCATTGTATTATTGTAACTTTTTTATATTATTCAAAATATTATTTCAAAATAAAATTTTTCCCATAATTTTTGAATTATTCGAATTAATCATTTAACATTTAGGTTTTTCTTTTTTTTATTAAAATTATAAGCTAATTTTAATCTATTTGATTAGTTCGCTTTTTAATTTCTACCCAATTTTATTAACTAACCGAACAGTATTTTGAGTACCAGCCTGATGCAAATAACCATGATGGCATATTTCCATCATCTCGTCGTTTAATATCATAAAAATGGCCTAGAATTGATCCAATCAAAAAAGCTGTCAAACTAATTGCTGCAAATATTGAAGATGGTACCAGAAGACGACAATTCATATACGATAAATCATCATTGATATCTTCCATATCTATATCACCTGAATATTATTATCATCATCAAATAACTTATTAAATTAATTGATCAAACAAATCTTTTTTTTTCCTAAAAATTATTGCTACTTTTTTAGTTATTTTTGTCTCTTTTATTTGGAAAATTCTCGTTTTTTT